ATTACTGTAAACACACAGGCAGTGACAGTTAAGTCTATGAGCTGTGGATTATAGCCACCCCTGTCCTTTGAACAGTAAGCCACCACCGTTAAAGGGGTCACATCAATAGTCGGACACTACTTCCTCCCCTTTAATATCACAAGCCATAATCCAGGCCCAGGCTGGTTGTCTGAAGTTCACTCCTGTCAGCTGGCAGTAGCTAAATGTCATGGAGGTCGGCCAGAATCAGACCCTCCTATGAACCTTCAACCTTCAAACTACAAATGATCATCTTTTACTACTTGATTTAATATGGCAAGGACTTGCATAGTCTAAATATTTATTACATGATGCAATTTCTCATTTAGGGACCATTCTTTGGCAGCTGAATGTACAAAGAATCTCAAATGTTTCATTGAAAACTGAGTGACATAAATGGTTATCAAGCCCTGGCTGGCTGTATTTAGCCCTGTCCTAGAAACCTGGCTAATGAGAACCACTTGGCTACTGCTGGAATTCTGGCATCACAGATATCATCCTACTTTCCTTTGCATTTGATATTCCACATGGGACTATTTCTCATGCTAACAACCATTGCAACATGCCCTAGCAATTCAAAGATCACACGCTAATGCCTACTTGTCCCCAATTACACCAAACACTGCTGGGCTTCACTGATGCCCTTTGAAAAGGATCTGCTTTCTGTTAAATATATTTACACTTGAAACCATCTTGAGAAGGCGAGGGAGAGCATGCCCTCGTCGACAGAAGGCAGCAGTGTGTAGAATACTAATCGGGTCCTCAGTGCGTTTGATGCTGGTGTTTGATGTTTTCCAAGTATCCGTGCAGAGGCCAAACCCCCAGAGAGAAAGATGGAGAGAAACAGAGGGAGAGATCAGACTGCTGAGACTCTGGAGGGACAGAGAGTTTACATTCTCTTCCTGGGGATGGTTTTATTGTTTTGCCTGTCTGCATCAGACATTAACATCTATTGTCTCTGCCTATTGTGAAATAGAGGCATTTCTGCTGTTGTACCCGGTACTTTTTACCATACTGACTCTTGAGAGACGAGGCAGTCCAAGTAACTACAAAACAGTGCTGACTTATTCCATGAACACAGGTAAAAAATTAACATTACACGCTCAGGTATCTTGCACCTCCAAATTGCACGCAGGCAGATGTAAGATGAAAGACCCTGAACCCACCAGGCCTATACATTATATCCCCTTGGTTGGGCTAGCCCCATACTACACAGAAACGTCAACCGGGACGTCTCTCTTACCAGCTTTGCAGCTGGCCATAGCAGTGGTCAAAACAATGTGTGTGTGTGTGTGTGTGTGTGTCGATTAAGTGGTGTGTAGCTAAAAACAGTCACACGACCTCTAGTGACATCTCATGACATTAAACATAAGAACATATAGCTAAGGCTACAGTTCTACACGTCATAATAATATTAAACACCCTGTCTGCTGACAGTCATCAACTTTTCTTTCTAGTTATCCTTGATCAGATGTACCCTGTAGAAACTCATAAGCATGCCTAAGCATTTAACAGTCTAACCATACATCCTATCGCCACTAAACATTTCTAATACATAAAGTATCTAACCAATATCTGACTAAAAATACCTAACAGTGCTCTTTTTTTTTTAAACCACCTTGTATAATACTTTGGTCCAGAGCCTGGCAGCAACATAATAGTCAGGAACGCTGTTTGCTGAAGGCAGCTGTTTGGCAGTTAGGAAATGTATACTGTGCTGTTTAGGCAGGTATACAGTTAAGTTCAAGTACAGAACAATTTAAGAATTTCTCAGAGGAGCCGATGTGGTTCCACTGTCGGTGTGTAGTGCAGGCGTGAACGTCATGCAGGCTGGTCAGATGATTGATCAAACATTGAAAGGGAAGCTTTTTAAAGTTTTGGGTATACATTTCAGCATTAAAATGCTACAGGTGATCTATCAGAGCATAGGTAAAGGAATTCCTCTTCAGTGCACTTAATCTCATTGCTCATGTGGTCACTGGCTTGTCAATTTACATTAAATTCAAATTTTTTTTCATGTTTAACGGACATGGGGGTCTGTTACCGGGGTGAAATCAGTTTCATTATCTGGTTTCTTCTATGCTTTCTTTACATTGTTTTGCTAAATGTGATGCTGCTACAGTATATATTGGACACATTGTACCTCAAATCAAAAGGTTAAGTATAATGAATGCACGCCAGTGAGTCTAATGTTCTCTTATGAGCAGCTCAGCGAAGCATACTTTCGGGTTAGTACCAATGTGTTTGACATGGAGGTTTTAGTTTAAGTGAGGTGAAAAATGATCAATTCTGAGACTTGTACTTTTGCATTCATTCAGAAGTTAAAATTTGTATGCTATCCTGTACTCGATATACAGAACACTTTTTATCTTATTCTGCACTTAACTTTGACAGAGAGCTCGGGAAGATGAGCTGGACAGTATTACAAAGCACATTAAATCATCCAAAGACAAGGACACCAAGCCACTAGACAAGCCTGAGCAGTAAGAGTTAAACCTACCTTCTCATCCAAATTCATTTTGTGAGGGCTGTGACGTCTGACAGATGTGTAAGGACTCCACATGATGACTGATCTTGTTCTTATTCAGGTTTCTATTCCAGTTGTCCCAAATCCCAAACTTCTCAGAACGGGTGTTTTGCATCCTGTTTCAATCAACGTTCTATGAATGCATCACCTCAGTCATCCGCAAAATAGAAATTCTTCAGAGAGTATGCAAGGTGAGTCAGTGGCCTTTTTATTAGTTTTTCCTTTCTGCCTGTCAATTTAACCTTCATATATTCATTTATTTTTTTTTTTTTTTTTTTTTCCCCGTGTGTGTGTGTGTGTGTGTGTGTGTGTGTGTATGCATGCGTGTGTGCATGCCCCAGACTCTCAAAAGTAGTAAGTGTGTGTTGCAGGTGCTTGGCTTGGTGCTGGCTTTTGGCAACTTCATGAACGGAGGTAACAGGTCCCGAGGGCAGGCTGACGGCTTCGCTTTGGACATTCTGCCAAAACTGAAGGACGTTAAGAGCAGTGTGAGTCTGTGTTACGGGAGTATAAGCAAACATAACTTGCCCCACAAGAGCAGACACCCAGTCACATGTTGTGAAGTGTGTATAAATTTGTGAAAAATACATAAAGGAGATAAGCCTACATGATTTATCTACAACCAGAGATGCAGTTTTTTAGTTTACATAGAAAATATGACTCTACTGTAAATGTTGATCTAGAGCTTTAGAGTTGTCCTGTCTGTGGTGGTTGAAGGGGACCTTCTTTGCTACCAAGCAAGAGGACCATAGCTGTGCAGATTTAGAGAGGCCATTCTGTTTACTCTTCTTATTCAATATCACAACGGCTCAGTGTGCCCTTGGCACTGCCATATAAGGACACAGTGGTTTGTGTTTGTGTGGCGCTGGACCGTGTAAGGTATCCATAAAGAACCTCAAACTTTCCACTAACTGAATTATGACAGCCAGCCCAACACAGTTGTTTTGTTGTATTGCTCCTCCACTGTCATGACTTATCCTCAACTTCTGAGACTGCTGTTTCTATTCTTGTTTGCCCCACACAAATTAAAACGTCCTGCTCCAAAATGATTACATTAATAAATAAAGGGATTTTGGTTTATTTATTTGGATGTTTTTTTTCTTTCAGGATAACTCCCAGAGTCTTTTGTCCTACATTGTTGCTTACTATCTAAGGCACTTTGATGAGGTATGTTTTGGTTCCTGTTTATTTGAATCACTTTTCTGTTTTAGTTTGATTTGCTTAGAAATCCTTCCAGAGCTCTCTTTTCATCTCCTCTCTTGCCAGAGGATACCATGGCTTATCCTTTATCAAATTATTTATTTTCCCTTTCCTCATTTTCAGCAGAAACAAATCTCTCTCCTTCTCTGGCTCTGTCTCATAATTCGCTTTGTATTTCACTCTTCATCTCCCACTCTTGCTCTGCTTTGGTCTGGCTTCATTCAAACCTGCAGTCTGTTCATTGGCACAGCAACCAAAGGAGCGCTAGTGTAAATAATTAGGTTCTCCAGATGAGATGAACTCGGTAGAGTGTTGCTTGCCAAAATCAACCTGCATGACATGGCTCTCGCACTCATAATGGGCCTGTAGTAACTCAGATGGGGAGAATTTCAGTGTACTGTAGTTTTAGCCACATCTTCTCTGGGATTTTTGGACTGTCCAAAGATATTTATTTTGACCTTGCCTGGTGTGTACAGTATATAGTAGAGAAGCCTTCTTCCATTTGAGGAAGATTGACTCTGACAATAGTATGCATGTGTGTTGTGCTGTACCAGGATGCTGGCAGAGAGACGCGCCTCTACCCTTTGCCCGAGCCCCAGGACCTTTTCCAGGCCTCCCAGATGAAGTTTGAGGACTTTCAAAGCGATTTGCGCAAGCTGAGGAAAGACCTCAACGGTATGGTTGTCAAGCCCCCATTTTCCTTTTGTTTGAGCACATCAAACATTTAAACTGTAGTAGTACATAAACTTGGCCATGCCATTATCAAGCAAATTATGGCAGGTGTCATGTAATGTTCAAAATATCACATGGATGATTGTTATAAATTATGTATTAGTCCATGCACATATCTCCTAGCAGAATGCAATTCTGTGTCCTAAACCTGACAAGCTATGGGCATGTGTGGATTGTAGAGGCGGGTCGACAGAGATAGCATCTGTTTGTCATACAGACAAGCTAACCAGAAACAGATGTGACTTGTCAGATGCAGACTCCTGTTGGAACTGGCATGCCTTTATTGTCCTCATGAAATGGAGATCAAAATACAAAGGGGGCAAGGTCAGGGAACTGCCACTACCAGTATGCACTATCAAAGGTTCATCAGCTATTCACTGAACTGCAAGAGGCTATCCTTGAGCTTTGAATCACCTCATAGACCCTGCAAGCTGCGAAACTTCACAACAGAATTTCAGAATATTCATGTCAATTTCAACGCATATTGTCAATCACTTTGCTCAGAGGGATCTTGACTGTGATTCATGGATGGACTGATTTGGTTAATGGCTGACTCAAATTCATTCATCAGTCACTTCTCTCTGTTCTTACACTAATGCATATACAACTTCATAACTTCCATGACTAATAACCAGTTCTTATGTCATGAACTTTTTTTGTCATAAAAACTTTTTGTTTCACCAGCCAAGATGTTTGGAGTGAGCATGTTTACAGCTGCATAACCCCTCAGTGGAATCCAGACATAATGAGTTGCATGATGACAGTATTTGGGTGTAAATTATATACAATTCATAAACATGTAAAAGACAAATGGATGCTGTGGCTCAGGAGGTAGAGCAGTTGTCCCCTAACCAGAAAGTCAGAAGTTGGATTCCCATTCTCCACATGTCAGTGTCCCTTGGGCAAGACACTGAACCCCAAGTTGCTCCGGATGGCCAGGTCAGTGCCACCATTGGTGGGCGAGTTGGCGCTGCAGATGGCTGCCTCGGTTCTGTACAGGAGACAAATTTCTTGTGTGCGTTTGTAATTTACTTGGCCAATAAGTGATTAAAATTCTGTGTAAGAATGAATGTGTTGTGTTGCTACATGTGGCAGTTGGGTTATGCTTGACAAACCAAAATGATTGGTTGAGTGAGAAGAGTCCTAATGAAAAAGGCAGTTGTGTAAATGTGCTCTTTCATTAGTCTGTCTCAAGTCACTCAACATTCAAAGCACTTTCCAAGGACTGAAATGCCTTCAGGTGCTAAAAGGACTGTTTTTGTGTAAACCTATGCGTGTGCTTTGCAGCTCATTCGACAATTCCCCAAACTTGGTCTGTTCTCTGTCCTGTTTTATGTAACTTTGCTGCTAAGCCAGGGGTTCTCAACTCTTTGTAAATTAAGGTCCGCTTTATTAAAGAATCTCCAAGGGTACCGCCTTGTCAAATAAATGAGAGAATATTTAAAAATGTATTCAGTGTATGTATTTAATGTATTCAGGGTCATATTTCCTCACCACATGCTTTGGAGCCTTTACTGGCGCAGGGTTGTCTCCCACCTCACTTTTTCATTTCAAACTGATCCATTTTGTGTTACTGCATTTCAGGAAACGCTGGCTAGGTAGCTAGCTAAAAGTGATACAACACTTTTCTGACCTGATGTAATAGGCAAACATAACTGGTCATTGAATTATGCATTTTTATATGAATTCTTAAGCACCTTTGGTAAATACCTAGCTTTCCATCCATTATAGTACTTATCCTGAAGAGGGTAATGGCTTTGTAGATTTAATAGCATTGGTTTATTTTGTAATCATTTTAGTCTTAATACGCCACAGATTGCTGTTTATTTGGCGGAAATGAGCTTGCGTCTGTTGACCCCAGTGGCGCAGGCAGTCGTACATAAATGCATCCCATGTTATACCTGCAGACCTGATCATTAACCAGCCAAGTGCTCCAACAGGCATGGGTTTTGATGACAGTCCCGGGGGGGGTGGGCCTCTCCACCTTTAAGGCCTTGAGCTGAGTTTGTGTATCCATTACAGTTGTGGATAGAGCGTGACAATAAGTTTTTCTCTGGATTAGAATGCAGGCCTTTTTGCTTCCTGGGGATGTCGTATTGGTCAGTGTCTCAACACTTAGCAGGAATTCGGCAAAGCAAACTCAACCAGGGTGAAGTTCACTGTAACTACAGGTCACATGCTGGAAAGGGTAATGTTCTGAAAGACTTTTACCCTTCTCATCATTGTCTTCTCTTGTTTCAGCATGCTCGGCTGAGATGGGGAGAGTTTGCAAATTGTCCTGTGAAGAGAACCTACAACCCTTTAAGGACAAGATGGAGGAATTTCTTAGCCAAGGTGTGCTTGTTTTCTAAATCGGTTGAAACTGATGATTAGCAAGTGTTTTACGGGTCTCTAAGGATAAGACTATCTGTATCTTTTGTTTTAGTCGGCAAATCCCGTGAAAAGACCATAACCCACACTAACAAATGTTTGTGTAGTCAAATCCTAAAGCTGATACTACTGTTTCATTGTCCAACAAAGAAAAGGTGACCTTCAATGGGCCACACCATGCGTGTTCCTTCATTACCCTGAACATGGTCAATATGGTGACTTTTCAGTCCCGTTTACTTGCTCTGCTCCTACAGATATTCAGAATTTCACTAAATCATGACTAAAAATTGTTCCCAACAAACACACACCTCTCTCCGAGTAACATTTTCTAGACAGTGTTCAACATTTTAAAGAAATGTTGCCTTTTTATCAAATGAAAGTATTTTACCCATTCTCATTTTATAAAAATGTTCAGTGGGAGCGAATTGGCTTGGGGCTGAGCACCACAGGCAGGATAAGCAGGTTGAAAGTGCTGTTAAATGGGGTAATACATTGTTCTGGTATTTTTATCAGATCTGGGTAACAAGGAAAATTGTCAGCCTTTCAGCATGATAAAACAGGTGATGTTTAAACATATGGTTTGCGTATCTGTGTTGCAATCAGACAATGGGTTACAGCTTAAGTAAATTTATTCCTCTAATGATACACAGTTGGGGTATTGGAGTTAAATTCCTCTGTGGTGTGAGAGCATGCAAAGTAGTCTACTAATCAGACTGTTTAATTCTATGTCTGCACACGCATTTCCAAATCTGTTTCATGCTGTTTTCTGGATGATGCACACACAAAAGGGTTCACCGAGTTGTTTCCATAGTGGCATCTGTTTATTCTAGGGTGTACTGAATAACTCTCAGCTTTTGTTTCAAGTGTGCCTGTCTGCTTTGATGGATTATGACTGCACTTGGTAGTTGGGGCTTTTTATCTCCATTGCAGGGTACATCTTGCTCTGCCTCAAAGGAAGGTTTAGAATGGCCAGAGGTGAACCTGTCATGTGAGCCTATTAAAATGACTGCTGAGAGCCTGATGCAGTATAAAACTGACTTGTTCAGCACCAGATCCCTTTCACTTAGAACTCTTGACACTGTGATATGTATTTGTCATATGAGCCCCTGTTTTTAGTGTTTTCTTATCAGAGGATTGCCAGAGCCATTAGAAGCACCCTGTTCCCTGCTTGTCCTCTTCTGTCTTTCTATTGCTAGCTCCCACTCATAAGGAAAGCAAACCCCTCACAGTGAGGTGTTTACTGAGAGGACCATTAAACTGATGCCAAGGAACTGATTGTAAATGATCACTTCCTCTTCCACTGCCACTTTATTCCAATAAGGCAAAGTATCTACAGCCATGTTAGTAACTCAAAGGTGAATTCTTGTGCTGGCATGCTGCAGTATATGCTCACAGAGATGATGGTTTACATGTTAAGCAGGTATTACATTTACCATATTTAACATCTTGGTGCGTTAGCAACCCAACTCTTGCTATTTAGCACTAAAGACAAACTAGAGGGGATAGTGATAGGAATGTCATTACCGTACTATAAGCCGCTACTTTTGTCGCTTCATGCGCACACCCTCTTCATGGACAACACACGACCAAATGCATATGATGCCGCTTCAAGTTGCAGGCGATCGATCTGGCTGTCGAAATATCTCGTGTTGCAACGTGGACACCTGTGGCTATGTACAACATGTTTTTTCATCTTACATTTAGTGGGTGCGGCTTATAGTCTGGAAATTACGGTAGTTTTGCAGGCATGTGGTCATAAACCAATGTTATTACAGTTTACCCTGAGGGACCAAGAATGTTTGCAGCAAATTTCATGGCAATCCATCTGATGAGTCGTTTCATTCAGAACCACAAATGTGCTTGATGAAAGCTACAGTACTTTGGATATTTCATTGAACAAATGAGAAGTCTGACCTGCTGCTGCTCAATAGAAAAATCAGGAGCTCATCCAAGTCATTACGGTTTATTCTGTGAGCGCCATGGATATGTGCCAAATTTCATGGCAGTCCATTCCCTGATTGCCGAGATATTTTGGTCTGGGCCAACTGACATTGCTATCCCTGGTGCTGTGCTGCTACCATGACTAAAAGTCTTATGTAGACACCACAAGGGCAAGCTAATGATAGAAACTTTAGAAATATTATATTCTAAAGGAGACTAAGAGCTGCTACTACTGCTAATTTAGTTCTATATATTATGGCAGCATCCACTGAAAATAGTTTTTCTGTTGTGTCCACCACGTCAGTCGAGCTTTTATTTCCATAATCTGACATCTACAACAATATTGTGGTCCACTTCAAAGATTTCAGTTTATGCTTGTTTTAACATAACAAGCTAAATGTCGTTCTTTATGTACCACTGGCTTTGACCCTGGCTACGTTCAGTTGACTGTGACCAATCTTTCTGAAGCACCCAGATCACAGGCCTCTCTCCAACTGCTTTGTATTCAAATGAGAGTATAATGTATAGCACATGTTGTTCTGTGGTAATGCTCACTGTCCATTTTAAAGGAAGTCTGCAGATGAAAGAATCTCTCCCACCTCACCCTCTCTCCATTTCTTTGTGCTTGAGAAAAGTATGGGAGCTTTCTCTTTGATGCAAATGATGTTTTTTTTCTCTTGCAAGCAGAATGTAAGCACCATAACATGCACATGTGACTGAAGGCTCCAGACAAGATTCTTGGGGTTCCTCCACTGTGACACGAGGGGGAAAAAAAAGAACAGCCAAATGTTTTATTTTTGTTATTTCTGTAATTTCTAAAAGCCTGGGGTTAAACTGTTTCTGGCTCCACAGTTAAACCGCTTTTGTTTATTTTCTGACCATGAAACTAACCACAGAATAGCGGTGGGAGCGGACTTGTTGGAGCTCGGCTGTTTGGTCTAGCCCAATTTTCCCCGCTCGCTTCACAAATTCTCATGCATACAGGCCTTTGGAGTCACTGTGACTTGCAAAAGAGCACTGGCCATGTGATAATCTGTTTCTGATGGACATAAAGATTAGTGTCAAATTCCCCCCTCCCTTTTCTACTTGCTAGAACTCTCAAATGATGATGTGCTGAATGACAGTCTTTAGTGGGAAATACAATATTGATTAGTTTACTCTGTCTTCATACAGTCACTATAATGTTAGTAGATAAGAATATGATCATACTGAATCATTCACTGTCAGGAGAGGGTTTATCTAAGGGTTTCCAGAGAGATTTTACACAATAGGATTTTGCAGTTCAGTATACACCAAGTACCAAGTAGCATTTTTTAATCATGTTTGCTTGAACAATAGTTCTGTCCCATCTTTTGTCATGTCTGTCTTGAAAAGCTACAAGGATGCCATAGTGTCGTAGGTCACTTCTGATCGTCTGCTAGTTAAAGGCAGTGGCAGCTTAGAGACTGACCTTGAATTTGATATCCAACCTTTTGACAGTTGTACAGAAACACAATGAAGGTGTATATACAAGGAAAATGAAGCAGGACTGGCTCAGTTACTATAATATTTGAAAATGGGGTGAAAAATCAGCCTTTGGATCTGAAATTTTATAAGTACTTGTGGTATTTTTGACAGAGGCTGTCACATTTCACTGCTATCCTTTTGCGTCATAATTTATAACAGTAAAAGTGATGCTGATGGCCCAACCTCTCAATGTCTCCCTCTCCTCTCACACAGTCATCTGTCTCTATTCAAAGTAATCCTGCACAAAGGACAACTTGCCCAGTGATCTGCAGTACTCGTATGACAGTTGTGCAACCGCGGACAGTCCAGCACCGAATACCCGGGTGGCACAGAACTGACCTTTTTAAGATCTAAGCAATGGCGACATGTGGAATCCTCCCTATGCAGGTCACACTGAAGGTGATGGATGTTTGGTTTCCCCCCCCCACCCCCTCTCCCTACTCTTTACAGCTAAAACTGAGCTGGAAACGCAGGAGAAGCAGCTGGAAGACAGCCAAAAGATGTAAGAACTTTTTCTTTTCAAACATTTCCTCTTCAGCTCTGGTGTCAACAAAGCAATAACCATATAGTGACTATAACCAAGACACTTAATTTGGTACAAATTGATGTACTGTCTTGAGGCTCACATGCTAATTACCTGAACAGTAAATGCAGTTTCCTTTTCATGGGATAACATTTGGGCTCTTCAGTGATCATGTTGTGAATTTGAAAGCTAACAGTAACACATAATGCAGTTCAGTAAAGTCTGACATGAGATATTCTCACTGCTGCTTAGTCAATATTTAGGACTTCTGTTTCCTTCAGTTATATGGAAGGTGCAGGCCATCGTGCCAGGCCCTCCATAGACGGGAGGCCCCCGGTGCAGTGTCTGTGTTGTTTATCTAAGCGGAGTGAGGGTAGACAGCCTTGGCTCCAGGCTTCTGTTGCTAGGAATGTGTTCCTATAGCACACTCTAAACAGAGAGACCCCAACCTGTCCAACATATTGATCCACTGCAAATGGCCACCACATTTAACCCTTTGATCTGTCCTCCCCTAGCATGTGCACCTCTTTCTTTTGAGGGCTCTTTCTACTATTCCTGCTTTGTTTTTCTTTCCTCACTCATGCTTGTATGCATATACAATGTGTGCATATGTATGCAAACTTGCATAGAGGTTTATAGACGCTAGAGAGGAGTGATGAACTTTCATTTAGCCCTGGAAGTTTATTCTTTAGAAATAATGAATGGTGTCCTTTGTTCAGTTTTCTGAAATGTATGGTGTGTTTTTTTTTTTTGTTTTGTTTTTTTTTCGTACTCTACCATTAAATTTCTGAAAAAACATTGTACAAGAGTAGCTCCTATATTTTGCATATGTGTAGTACTGCTAGGTTTCACAATAATCGCTATAGGTTTCATTCATCTCATGTATTTTGTTCTTTGTCCTCAGATTCTTGGAATTGAGCGCGTCCTTCTCGGTGAAACCCAAGGCAGGAGAGAAAGAGGTCTCTCCCCACACTTTCTTCTCCTTTTGGCATGAGTTTTCTTCCGATTTCAAAGAGCAGTGGAAGAAGCAGAATAAGCTGATATTACAGGAACGGTGAGAATATGATTTCCTAATGTGGCATTAAACTTGATGCAGATACAGGAAACTCTTGTCCTAAAATTTTGTTGAGAAGGGTACAGTATTCTTTATTCAGATCTCTATTAGCTGTCATCAGGGCAGCAGCTACTCTTCCTGGGGGTCCACATGCAACATAACCTAAAACAGCATTTAACCCATATAAACATCTCAAACATTCACATCAATTTTGACCTTTAAAATGCCATTACATTTAGAATTTTCCCCAAGCGTACATTTCCGAACCATTAATAACTTGCAGTACATCTCGTGTTCACTGAAGATCCTATCAGGTTCATTCAAATTCATGAATGGAAAAGAGGTTAAATGACCCAAATCTATGTCCTTACCCCAGTAATGAAAAGAACACAGTTGGCTTCCAGTGGTTTGAATATAAAGATACTGTTGCATATGTCAACAAAAAGCAAATTGGTCCATTATGCTAAATGAAGATTGAACTGTGATATATATTTGTAAAAGAAGCAAAATGTCAAGCTTTGCTTGCTCAGTAGGAAAGAATAAAAACTAATTTGAAAGCATTAACTCTTTGCCCTCTGCCCTAGGCAGTCACCCCACATCTCCCTCTGCTGGTTTCCCTCCAGAGGAACCGCAGATCTTAATCCTCACCTGTGCTGCATGGAGATGCAGAGAAGCAGTGCCCATATAATGAATTAAGGCAAGACACATGTCTGTGGGTACAAATTGCTGTACTCACTCAATGCCAGCATGCTGATCATTTGTCTTTTTTTAAACAAATGAGCAGTGACACTGCTGGCTCTCTCCATGCAGTAGTGAGTCATTTTTAAAGTAAGAGGACTGGCCCTCTGACAGGCTCAGATCACTGTGTTCAAATACCATATGACCAAAGTCTGGATCCAAACTGGAATTTCAGCTGTGTGTGTGTGTTCAGTTATCTGGTCTTGGTCCATAGGATGACTGATGGTTATTGCTGGTTAATTTTCAGGGTCAAAATGGCTGAAAAGTGCTTCAAACAGGCCAGGGAGAAGGCTTCCTACAATGTGAAACCCAAACACGCAACTGGAATAGTATGTCTTTACACTTTCTCAACGTTACTCTATGGTTTTATCTGTGCTTTTATTTGGTCTTTTTTTCCCCCCAGAGGTAGTGCCTACCCTCTTTTTCCCATTCCTTGGTGCCAATTATCTCCTCACCTAAAAGACTATTCCTCACAAACACTTATCAGTGTTGAAGAAACAACACTCCTGGCTCCTAACAGTAACATACTGAGATGAATGCCAGTGGTAAATAACTCAGACATGTTATTTTATTCCACAGAAAGCAAAGCTGGGTCAGAAGATCTGAAGCAGAGAATGGAAAATTATCATCACTAAGCCTATTGCATAAGCACCGTTTGTACAGTCTGACATGACTCACCAGTCATTTTTAACATGTATTTGTTTTCAATTGATTTAGAGCTGTTTATTGTGTGTTGGTTCAAAGTTGATATTATGCAGACATTATTTAAAAGTGGAATGAAAAATCACATTGTCAGCCAGCCTTTGCTAGCATTAGCATAATTGAATGAAACATTGCTACCAAAAGACATCCTTAAGCTAAGATTAAGTGTGGTTGAGTCATGCCAGAAAGTGCTCACTGGAGTCTGAATTTGTAGCAAGACTATATCAAAGCTTTTTCAGTAATTTATAAGCCATATGTAGCCTATTTTCCTTTAGTGCAGTTCCTAAGCCTGGTTTACTAGGAAGGCATGGCCACTTACTCATTCTATCTCCCTTAATGGTGAAAAAGCACAGAATTTTGTTACATTTCTATATGATAGGTACAGTAGGGGTCACCTGCCACATGGAAAGTGCCTTATCCCATTGTGAAGTGGTCAAGGTGCTGTACAGTGAAGCTATATTTGAAGCATATCATCTGTAATGACATGTTGCATGTAAAGAATATAAATCAGACAGTCTTAGTTTCATCAATCTAGTGATAGTTTTAGGTACAAAACCTGTGTTTTACTGTTTTTTTTTTTTTTTTTTTTTTTTTTTTTTTTTTTTTTTTTTTTTCTCCCCATCCAGCAAGGCCCTGTATACCTAAGTGGTGTGATCTGACACTGACCTATCATTTTAATCAGCAGAATTGACTTGCTTAGCTTTAAGCAAAATTTTAGGTAGTTTTTGCTTCTCTTGTGATATGCAATTGAGCAATATAATATTGTAATATGTTTATGTTCATCACCAGTTTGTGTTGATTGAATATCCTGAGCCATGAAAAAATATATTTATTGAATAAAAGAAATTACATACCTTTATAATAGAAATTCTGCTGGTGCTGATTGTCATGTCCAACTGTAATAAGTGGTTCAGAACTACATGCACTCTACTTTTATATGAAATAGATTTAATATATTTTTACATACTTACAAAACAAATTATATACTGTGTATATATATATTGCATTGCACCTCCATTGCACATGCTGCATTGTTTTTCCTACTTGATTAGCATATTTGTGCCAGACTTGTGTAAAAGCAGGTGAATGCTGTTTGTTTCTGTGCTGCCTCGTGTTTATTACAATGCCTTACTTGACAACTCACTTGGACATAAAGGGAAGATGCAGAATAATTTTTCAAAAACTGTAAAATGTAAATACTCAGGTAAAAATATTGCTGGCAAATTGTGTAATTACTGTAGATCCACCTGCAGAAAAGTCATGTCAGTGTTGCAGAAACATTTTTAAGGGGTCACTGGACAGTTATTTTCTTCCAAGATCTTGTGTTTTTAGCATGGTCTCTCCCAGTGTCTGTGTTTTATGGCTTTAACTTTCTGTTAAACAGCTACTGTAGGTAAATATGAACTTTTTTTAATGACAAATTGGCTGTCTCTTGCACAACCACTTGAATCACTCAACAGTGTAAGCTTGCCAATATGGCTGCTAGTCTCTAGTAAAATCAATATTGAGTCTTAAAAGAAAATGGACAGTCTATTTGGTCAACACTGCAGAATTGTTCAACTTGAAGCTGGTCCTTGGTTGGCAAATTTCTGGTTTTCTTCCTCTGATAATACTTGTCATTTTCCATTTTTAAAGATGTCCTCCTTCACAATTTCCCATGGCCGCTCACATCCACAGACATGCAACGACACTGTTTGACCCTCTGCACCTTGCGGTGTCTAAAGGGGGGCTGCAGGTCTGGGCACTCTAGCTGCACTGTGAGCTGTGTTATGCGATGTGGCCTGCAGAAGGAGCAAGACTGGAACGGCTCCTGGGCCTTGTTGTGGTTTTTCCTTCCAGAGCCTGAAGCTTGTCCTCGATTCTGACCCTGACCTGAGCTGGAGCCCATATGGCGAGGGATGTAGAAGGAGTTGCATTGCCCATAGCAAAAACGATTGACCACAGTGCGGCTGCGGCAGCCCTCCTCACTAATTGTTTGTCGGAGGGGTTGGGTCTTGCACCAGTCTCTGCGGAGATAGCGGCGTTCTGTCACCACCAAGGCCTCTCTGCTGGAGGATAGCACCTCCGGTTTCTGTTGCGGTAGCCGGTGATGACGTTCTGAGGACAAATTGCCTTTGGTCTTGGATGGGGACGGGATGGCTCCCTGGGGCCGGGGCTTTTTGCTCTCTGCGGTGATGCACAGCACCCCAGCCAGAATCACTGGGATAGTTATTCTCCACAGCATTCTACAAAAGGAGAAATACATCATTTTGCATTGCATGTCAAAAGAATAAAGCATTCTTTATCACACAACCAGAAAATTATAGTTAATGCCGAAGTTGGCGTTGAATTAATTCAGCCAGTATCATGATACACAGGAGTCATGACTCCTGCATTGATATTAATATTGCTAATCATGTTTGCAAACACGAGAAGGTGCATTCATGTTGAACCACCTTCATCGGCTTACCTTCCAGGCATCATTGAGGAAATGAATCCATCACCAGGGCCCCCCATTTGTCAGCATCTGTGTCATTACTTGTATTTGCTTTCCTCTCAGCTACGCAACTCTTCCAAAAATAAACAAAACCCTTCGATCAAAGGATACACTAAAGCGCCCATAACGAGAAGGGGAAGTTGATTTTATTGGTCCCGTTGGCGGGTAAAATAATTAGGGCTTTGCTTACTTTAGTCATGAACTATGCCGCAGATATGTAAACAGGCATTAGAGGGGCCCATCTGTATGTTATTAGGGGAGGAGTTGGGGAACTCTACAGTACCCTTTGGGGGTCCACTCTTCTCCTTTTTTAGTGATATGCTATGGAGCAAACTGACCTGAGAATGACCCACAGTGTCTTCTATATCATGCTAGCACCAGAAAGCCAGTATGATCCAGAGAAATTTCTCCGCTGTTCAGGATGGAGTATCAGCCCACGTGCATGCTGTCAGTATTTGTGCCAGCACATTTTTGACAATCACTCAAGCATCTTTTCAGCAGATGTTGCTCTTGACAAGCATTGCATGACATCAAGTCAGAAATTCTGACAGAGAACCAAACTGCCTCAAGGCCGTTGGCTGCTCCTCTTCACAGACTTGTCTTTGCTGTGCAAATTTGTATCTTTCCTTTTTTTCCTGGACCTGCAAAACTCTGTTATAGAGCAAATTATTGTAATTCACTTTGTTTCTGTCTCCTTATTTCTGCCTTTGACCCCAAGGTCACTGGAATCTTGTCTGTATATCATTGTCCAGGCAGTACTTGCTCTACGTATGAATTCTAACCAGGTTTAAGAAGTATGCTGGCATTATGTAAACACAGAAGGTCCACTGTACCTTTCGGCCAGCTCCTATGCAAATCTGATTTTTTGACTTTTTTTTAAGACAACCAACCATTGCTGGAAGAAAGTATTTTGAATTCCATGCACAAGAATTCAGATTGACGTGCTCTACATTTACAATCTTTTTGTTTCTTCTGTAAGGCATGCATTTTTTGCATTCACACACAAGCCCACACACATTCATTCTAAAGTTAGAAGAGCTAAAACATAGACTCCTGCTGGGTCCTTCCACCACCTACTGCATCAAATCACAACCCCACGCCATCTTCCATTGAGCTACCTACCATGAACACAGTCTCATTTGTCTTGAACTACACCATCATATTTGTGCTGGCTCTGTATTTCCATGCATGAACCCCTGTTCAGGGGAGCAGGCTCTGTCTCTGCATGCAGGCTCTTGTCCCCCTGTTCTCCTGCTGTTCATGTGACTTTGGTGAGCTATAGTCTGCAAAGCCCTGGGAACTTCGGAGGGATGACCTGACCAACTATGTACATAGGCCATGACAGGTGACCTATACAATCACTTGCCGCTCACCCTCTTTGCTCTCAAACTGGACCTATGATAGTGCAGGCCCTGCCAAGCTATCCCCATCCATTTCTGCAGCAAGACAAATTCTGGTTTTGGGTGTGGATTCAGTCTTTTGGGTAGGGTGTTAGGAGACAGAAGAAAAGGGGCTCAAAAGATGGTGGGATATGGGATAGATGACCTACTGCTCCACTTCAGCATGATGTACAGTAAGCACCCTCAACTGTATTATCTCTTCACAAGCTGTCTCTTTCTCTCCCCCATCTGTTTCTCAGTGTCGCTATGTCTCTCCTTGACACACAGGACTAATCATTCCAGAGTCCCAGAGATGGAAGGAGACTGTGGTTTTGTGTGTTAATGCCGAGACAAAACTGAACCGGACCTTTGTCTGCTGAACACTAATATTGTCCAAAAACTCAGCTTTATGTTTTACCAGAACCACACATACTTGGGGGATATGCTTTACTGAACTGTGGCAGACTGGTTCCAAAATTCAGACCTCTAATGAAATTACAAATACCAGGGAGACTGCTGAGCTAGACACAAGCCTTTTTGAAAACAGCTATTATCATCAGTGGGAATGTGTTTTATTTTTCAGAATGGTATTATAATACCATGGTAATGTTTTCTGTCTGGATAACAATGGGTCTTTTTTTCAGATCTCAAAGATAAATGAAAAACAAAGTTGGTCATGAAAATGTCCAGCCTAGCTGGAGAAATTTTTTAATAAGTCAAATATTCAGTTAAATAATTGAAAAAAAGAATTGTTTCAAAACATTCTAATTTGTACACACAGATGTACTTCCACTAAACCATGTGAAACATCTTCTCAGCATGTCTTCAAAGGCAGGTTAAAACAAACAAAATCTGATACCTCAATTATTGGTGCGTCAGAAAGTCTCATACACAGACTGGTAAGTGCAGTTAATTACAGTAGAACTGCATTTAATTCACTGTGCAGCTCAAACCTCAATCACAAACGGGTAGTCGCATACACACACTCATTGCATACATGCACACACCCATTTGTGACTACACACATGCAAGCATACACACATACAGTACAGACAGACTGAAACGCAGGATATACAGATAGAAAGAAAAAAATGGAAAGGTAAATTAAATGTTTTCACTTGAAGCCAATTACACAAAGAGGAACCATGTCATTATCTGCATTTGTGGATTGTATTTTCCCAAACTACACTTGGCTGTTAGATCATTAAAAGTTTGTGGGGGTTGGTGGGGGCTCCTTTTGGGGCCATTGCAGTGTAGATGTGTCTACGCCAACACTGCCAGGAGGTTGCTTTCGGCAGACTGGGCAGCCATTTGTCACCACAATCCATCTAGATAATGACTAGCAGTCCAGATATAATGCTTTCTAAGCTAAGTGCTGGCAAGAATGTAAGGCAACTCCTTCGCCTCAGCAACATAAAGTACTTTGGTGGAGGATGAGGGGTAATTAGAGATGCTATGATAGTACAAAGTATCACATTGCAGATCAGGATGACACTACTAACTGCAGTGATTAACACCACCCTCCGCGCAATTAAAGTGAAATTTGTTTATTTAATCCCTCAACATACAAATTTCTCCCTTAATTAGCTTTAAGTATGCTACAGTGGCCGTAGTCTGTATTACATTCATACTCTATATCAGCTTGTTCTAGATCTTTACTGAAGCTGTTATTTTGTATGAAATATCCAATCCAGAGACTCCATGTCTTTTATGACTTTACCTTTCAATGAAAAATGTGTTGAGCATCATTTTAAACATATAGAGTGCTTTTTGATGCTTTTAGGATTTCAAAGTTGTTTTTGTTTGAACTTGGTTGCACAGTGGCAAACCACAGCATGTTAAAGACTTTCATAGTAGTTCAATTAAACTATATTTTGGTCACAAACTTGGCCATTATTCTGTTAGTGAAGGTTTGATTTTAACAGAAAACATTGTCAGAACTGGCCAAACTTCAGCATCTCTCTCCATTTTAATCCACTTTCCTCAGTGTTTTCTTGGTACCTGTTCACATGCAAAGCATTAATTTCACATGTTCAAGGATAATGTTAAAGCTTGGATACATATCAGTTTACACATGACCACACACAAATAATGACACAAAAGCTAAAGACACATAGAAGAATATACACCTGTACACATGAACAGGGAGAAAAGACTTTTTTTTACACACAGCATACAGACTCACTAGAGTATCTATACATTAACATCGGTGTCCCTCCTTCTTTTTTCATATTCACTGGAAAAACTAAACTGACTCTTAATCTCGCCGAGACGCACAGTACAACATACTGTCATCACTCTCTAACTCACAACACTAATTCCCTGGAACCTCCAGCCACTAATTATAGTAATTTAGAAGACACTTTTATCCAGAACACCTTACACTATCTTAAAGGTGCAAATTTTTACTATGGGTGGCCCCAGTGGGAATCAAGTCATCAATGCTGGCAGATGCACAGAATAGCTCTAGAACCACTGCTGTTCGAATTACACGGTTCTCCGCTTAGTCATGCAAAGACTCACCGAGTCACTCAGTCTCACGCTCACGTGGGATATTTTGAAGTAGCACTCGGTGATCTACACATTTATCAGTTAATCCAAATGGCACATGGTACTTTCACACATATAATCGGTTTCCTCACATAAGCTGCAAAGAGTGTTCATGTTCTAAGCATTTATCATTGTATTTTGAACTCTTGATATTTAAAATGAAAAATTCGCCAATAAAGAACATAAAAAACTTTCTTGAATGAAATGATATTCATTTGCAATTGGTGCATATTTGGCTACGGTAGTTGACATTTTTAGAAATTCCCAGAAAATTCTTGCAACTTGTAAATCTTTTGAACAGACTTTACTCTTCAGATGCATTACTACAGTGAAGCATAAAGTATGGCTTACGTACCTCTCGCCACAGTATGCAGCAGGACAGTAACGTGTCAAGGATGCAGTCAAAGGAAGTTGTCCACCTTTAGTGGTCCTTGCATCCACTTCCAGGCTTTGGTTTCCATGGCAACATAATCTGTAATATCCTCAGGCTTGTCCTTGCTTCTCTTTTTCCCCCACTACTGAAGATGCAAAGTCTTGGAAACACTCAGTTTTCCATCTTCCTGGGCAAATATGTTTCTTACTTCCTCTCTCAGTCTAACTTGCTCTGTTAAGTCTTTTTGTTGTCAGGCTTAACAGAGAAGCTCCAGGTTTCAGTCACAGTAAGCCCATATATTTTAGTGCTGTGGAGACTTCTGTAGTCTGTCTTTGAGTGACTCACTGTAAAGCCTGCCTTAGTTTGAATCCTCACCACCCCCTTCCCCTCCTCAAGACAGGGAGGGTTTTTCCTATTGGCTCTGGTCATTATGGAGTCAAAGTTTCACTTCTTTCATTTAAGTCTGTCTTTCCTGGTGTCTGTTTGTCCCTTTCTGCCCATTGATGTAGGCTATTTTTTATGTTTTTTATAATGCCCACTCTTTTATGATAAATCAAGCCTATCAAAAAGAAAGCTTTTTCTTAGTCTTTTTTTAAGCATAATATTTCATTCCCACCTCTCCTGTTTGTCATTTGCATTTTTCATTTTAAGGAAGTGAATGACATTTTGCCACAATGTTCAATAAAAGACAAGACTGTAAAGAAACAACAAACTCCTACAAAATCTCTAAATCATCTACTGTACTGTCATCAGTACTAACCACATCACGTTACAACCCATAATCCCCAACCCATAAATCATTGTAGGTCTGTACCCAGACACTAACAGCTTGCTTTGAAAAATGCCACAGTTCCCATTCCTTGATGCAACTGAGACAATAATGTTTATCTGTTTTGTGGTTCTTGCTAAGCTGACCACTGGGCACAGACATTGAAAACACTGACTGTCAATTCTGCCATCAAAGAGCTGAAACATCAACAGACCCTGCCAAACCTCCGATGGGTACAGCATGAACAATAACCCCTTCAGCAGGCTAGAAGGTGATGACATATTTGCATGACAAAACCTCATTTGTCTGCAAAGTACCACGGTGCATTTTGTTGATCTGTGCTGAGGAGGCACTGGTTGCTGAAAGAAGGCAGATGCTGTTGGAAATAATTTAGCCCCCTCTAGTGGTGGAAAGCAAAGGTGCATTGTTCATGCACTGTTGCTGGGTTCTTTAACCCGATAGTGGAAATTCTATGTCCAGAAAAAAGTAAAAAATCCAAGCCCAAGTCATAACAGATAAAGGGGCAACTTTAATAATATAAGTAAGTAAAAGTGTCTTTAAATATGGTATAAAAATAAATGCCAGAGAGAATAACAAAGAATTATGCTCTACGCACATAAGACAGGAGACAGCATTTTTGTAATTTTGAATGTGGCTTTACAAGTGCAATGAAAACCATATGTGCTAATTATTGTAGTGCAATAAAATAATGCGAAGCAAAATGAATGCACAATAAATAATGATAATCATCATAATATATATGTATATATATTTATATGTATAGTATATTCATTCTGCACAACACTTCCCATAGCGTGTCAAAGTATCTGTGACCGAAGTTCATGTAAAGCAATGACATTGGTTAGATGTATCTGTTTAAGATGTCATTTAATA